TTTTTAAAAGCTAATAACTCCAGAACCAATAATTTTTTTAAAAATATCTAGACGATAGATTGTAGAACTAGTCAAAAGCTATCAAATATCGTCTCTAATTTTTTCAGACAAACAACCTATGTTCTTCTAAGTTTAAACTCCTTATAACTTCATTAAATAATTCTGCCAATTCTGAAATCTCCAGTCTTCTTAATGGTATCCATTCGATTTGTCTACCTGAGTCAGTCATATTACTTTGCACATAAACTGCATCAAGCGTAGTCAGGATAAAATTAAATTTGATCAACTCTTCTTTATCTTTTGCAAACTCTTGGTAGGGATTATAGAGATGATTTAAGGACTTATTAACTTTAGCTTGTTTTTGATTTGTATCAGTGCCTGACAAAATTTTCATAATCTCATCAATGCATAGAAGTACTCGTTTCTTCGAATAATATAAGATGCTTTGAACAGCAGTACGAATCTTCAATGATTCAAAATTTGTTTTAAATTTCTCACAAAAATTCTGCCAGCTTAGTTTTCCATCATCGAAAAAATAACTCCATAAGATATGCATTACTAATCCTCTTTCAATATTATCATCTACGAATTCATCAAAATTGTACACTGAATGTCCATTGTATGTTATGCAAACTGCAACTGAATTATGAAGCATATTTATGACATTATTAACTGCCTCATTTTAACAACAGTCCTCTTCGTCTTCTATAATAAAAGGGTGTTGATGATTCTTGCTTCTCAAGTAATTATTAAAATCTTCATTTTTCAAGGCAGCTAATTCATCAAGCAAGAAAGATTTTCCTCCTCCTGGTGTGGCTTGAATTGCGAGAACACGGTGATAAGTTTTACCACCAACACTTTTCCCTTTATCCAAGGCTTTCTTAATTCTAAAATAATGCTCAACAATATAATCATATATTCCATGTAGCGTTTCATCTCTACCTTTTCTTTGAAAGTTAAATTCATTTTCACATAGTTGATGTGGCTTTGTGAAATCATCTTTGACACCTTCTTGTCCTTCTAGAAACTCTGCTATGGATTCAGGAGTGGTAGGCACTTTTGTATTTATGTAAATACAAAGAAATGTTAGTTCCAAACAGTAATATTTAAAACTAGAAGGAATGATATTTAACGTATATGATTTTTCCATGGAATTTAAGATATATTACCAAGTGTTTGTTTCATTTTTTTATCAGTAAATTTCTCGTTCGAATCTTCCACTTTCCTTTTGCCTATCGAATAAAAAAAATATGGGAAGCAAATGTGTTTTTTGGCGGTTTGACGATAAGAAGCAGGAAAGAAAAACACAAGAATAAGTAAGTATTTGGTATTATTGGTGAATATGGCATGGTCTGAATTTACCTGCTGCAATGAGTAAAGAGAAAAAAAAAGAAACAAAGCACAAGTTACTCAAAGTTGTAAGCAGTGTACAAAACAAATAAATAAAATGAACAAAAAGTAATTTTTTTTTTCTTATGCAATTTGTTCATTACCTTTTTCTTTACCAAAATCCATCAACGCATCTTGTAATTTCTTAACCTGGTACCACCTCTCATCCTTCTCCTTCTCTAACTTTTCCTTTTTTTTCTTAAATCTTCCATTCCCCACCTTTCTTCAAATGACTTCAAGTTCTCCTCTTCCATAAACTTCTTCAACTCTGCTTCCGCCACCTCATAATATACCCTTGCTTTGTTTAATTCTTGATTATTTCTTGGTGTGCCGCCATTTTTAAAATTAAAATTAATATTTTGAAAAATTTAGATCATAATTGTTACAAATACAGTCAAGGAC